AAAAAAAATTTAGAAACTCGAGATGCCAGTAAGGTGTACTTTGGATGAAGATGCACTTAATCTAATTTATTTTAAGTATTAAATAAAAGAATGAAAAATACAACCTTATTGACTTTGGGTTGCCAAATCTTCGTAAGAGTTATCTCAATATTTTTTGGTGTTGATCCAACTCCACAAATAAAGACATGATCTATTTGTTATTTAGTAAATTTTCTCTCTAATAACATGCCTCTGTCTAACACAAGATAATAGATAATAGCACTATTTCCATCTCTTCAATTAAGATTACGTGAATATTTTCATTAGAAGTCAGCATTTTATGGGCTAAAACTGTACCATAGCCAAAAAAATTCACTTAAGGTTAAAATTAAGATAGCAGCATTTGAAACTGAGTAGAAAAGAAAGAACGAAAGAAAAGAAGGAAGAAAGAAAGGAAGAAAGAAAGAAAGAATAGTGTGGTCATTTCTAAACTTTAAATGAATGGAAAAGCTAATGATCCTGAGGCCTTTTGCGTGTATACATCAAAATCAGCTCCACTTGCGCAATTCCTGACATTTTATAGCTTAGCACTCCATATCCCTCACTGGTGATATGTTAGCTGTGAGTAGGAGGTTGTAGAAACTGAATTAGTTTAATCTAAGAAACTAGCTACTATATACACTCAAGGTCTAAAGGCAGTTAAGAATCCTTTCTTTTTCTTATTCAACAAAAATATATTTGTACAGGTATTCAGTAGGGATTTACACACAATATGTATCTTAAAATAGTTCTAAGAAAGTTGTTCTCTCCTATATGAGCATTCTCAGATGCAGACAGTGGGCTGTAAACGTTGCAGATTTACGTATTTGGTTAGTGATTTGTGCTTTAAAGAACAACATAATCTTCAAGACAGTTTACAGACTTGGGGTGAAGAAGTTGGAGCAGTATGAGGTGCTTTCTCTGCCCCAAACAAGCAAAAATTCCCTCAATTTCAAGGTCTGATTTAATAACAGATCAGAGTGGGTGAGGTTTGAGAACTGTTTCAATTAAGATTGCAGAATCTATCCCGAAAAGCCATAAAGAAGAAAAGCTTAGTTTTTATGGTGCATTGGATATTTTAAAAATCTTCATGATATTATACCCATCTTCAAATTAGCATGTGCAGGTCAAAGGCACAAACTTTACAGTGACCTTGAAATTCTTAAAATTAATTTTATATGTTAAGAAAGAAAAGCGTAACTGAAAAACACAAAACTTTTCTATCTTTCACCTCAGTTGTATAAAAAGGTCAGATCAATTCATAGGAAAATACGGGGAAAGAAAAACAGAGTAGCTTAGTAAATGCAGGAATCTGTTTAGAGAAAAATTTACAGATGTGTTGTAAACAAATAAACATATCAAACATTTGAATTGCATGTGAAGGAATTCTTAAGTACAATTAACTTAATGATTACTTTGATGGTACATGGAAAAATCATTCCTAGAAATGTTTAAATGTAATTGTTGAAACTCTCACTGTTTCTCCAAGTTTCAGTCATGTATATACTTTTTATTCAATCCCACTCTTTTGGTGAGTGGTGAAGAGTGAGAACGCTAACATTTATCTTTGCAAAGTCCTTCCCCAGCTCAAGCAGGAAAAGTATATAGGACTACATGAGTGTTACTTGTCTATTCTCTGAGGAACAGGGTATCCTATATATGTCTTTTTTGGAAATGAGCCAAAAAGAAGATGCCAGAACTCTAAGCAGGCAGTGATTTGCAACATTACAATAAAATATAACAACAGGATAAAAAACACCCAGTGAGGAAAACAGAGTCCTGAACTTGTAGGTGATATAATCAGAGCTTTGAAAACCCCCGTGTATTTAGTGGAGGATTTATTCTCTGACTGCTGGACCAACCCCAGTTAACTCTTCTGTTACAATCATCAATATTTATGGAGATCCGCCAACGTGCACAGTTTTATACAAAACAGAGGACAAGGCATAGTCTCTGTCTTGTTATATCTTTCAAAACAGAAAGAGTTGGAAATTGTGGCATAAATTCCAGTATAAAGAGCAGGTGTTTACAATTTTAACTTCAGGAGAAGTAAATGCAGTCTTGTTTTTCTCCCTGGTTGCTTGACAGACTTATAATTACAACTCCCTTGATGGTATTTTTAAAATTTATTTTTGAAAGTGAGGTATTTGCAACACTGAGAGGTTGATTTCTATTGAAATTACCATATAAGTTTCAATTTTTATTCTTTAACAAAAATTATTTGTCCTTGCCTAATTTTTCACTCTAATTTTCAGCTGTATTAAGTTTTATTTTCTAAGGGTCATGCTTAATAATTCTTATCAAACATCCCAGAAACGTATTTACTGTTTTAATATCTATGTCTTTATTATTATAACTGGCTACAACTGTATACAGAAGTTTCAATTTAAAATATCATGATGATTAAGAAAGCTTTATAATTACACCTTACATAATTAATGGTGTGCAAGTTTGAACATGGTGAATACTATTTCCAGACCAGGCTAATTTGATACAAGTTGACTGATGCTTCTATTTAAAACCAGTTGAGTTATTACTGTGCTGCATTAGCATTTATTGATTTTAAGGTATGGTGTTAGCATTCACTTACCACTGCATATTTTTCCATCTTGTACATTAAAAGAGCTTGCCCTCATCTGTCATGATCTTATATTGTATAAATCATATAAAATGGTTACCCTTTTGCATGATTTATTTCATTATTATGTTAATTATACTGAAACACAGGATTGTTTAATAAAAATGTTAACGCTAATCTACATCAGTCATCAATATTTGTTATGAATGTTGCATGGCAGAATGTGTGAGAAACTGCAATTATCCAACCTGAATGAAAGAACATTTGAAATGATTTGGAGTTTAGCCTCACTTAGAGCTAAGATGCATTTTAATTTTACAGAGGACAAACAAAACCGGGTATTTACGTGGTATTTTTTAGAAGTTAATTGTATCGATTAACTATGATCACTAGAAAAATAAAATATCTCATCCCCAGTTTTCATAATTTAGAAATGTAAGATGAAATATGCACTCTGGCTTCCTAAAAATACTTTGTTAAGGGAATATAGACTTTCCAACAAAATGAGATACATATCAAAAACTCCCCGGTCAAGGTAAGACTTTCAGTTGAAACTTGCATTCTTCCCGAAAGGAGTTTTGCCTGGAAAAGTGCAGCAGGATCAGGCTAGCAGATATCTGACATTGAGCCTTCAAAGATTTATACACAGGCACTATAAGTTGTTCTCTTAAAATCAAAGACGTTGCTTGAAATTAAAGGTTAGGTCCCATGCAAATGGTCATCAGCACCACAGATAAAATGGTCTGCGACATAAGTACTGAGGGTTTGTCCAAAGACACATGAAGAAAATCTTTGTGGGATCAGGGCCTTGGCTAATGCTTAGGAGATCAGAGCATATCTTATTTTCCTTCATAATATTGCCTTTTTAAGTTCAGCTGACTCCAGATACTATGGGTGAATTGAGTCATACAATTGATAACTTTAAAGTAATACACAGATAATACCTAACTTTTTTTTTAGGGATGAAGAACACATTTTTAAAAAATAAGTATTTCATTTTCTTCTAGTCTTCTATTTCAGGAGTAAGAACAACAACAAATGTATTTAGAGTTGTGGACAGAAGTTACTCTTACAGAAAAAGACCTGGTGTCCGGAATTGAACACCACCTAATCTGCCAAATAATTAATGAAATGTAATTTTATTATTATGACAGCTAAATTCTAGAGAGTCATTTTCCTACAAATTCTAGTTGCTGAGGAGTTTAGTGATTGGAAACATTTGTAATCCTGCTGCAGGGATTACAGACCTGGTAGACGTTAAAGGTATAAAACATGTATGATAATCTGGAGGCATTTCAGAACATGTGCCATTGTTTAAAAACTTACTACAGAAAGTATTATCCTGGAAAGCAAGAGTTTATCACATTTTGTACAAGCTTATTGAGAAACTTCAAGTTTTCAATTCAATCTTTTGCTATTCAGATGAAAAAAGAGGTTTTCCAAATGAAAAAAGAAGTTTTATGAACCCTACAGCACTTGTAATACTTATAAAAATAGTATATACATTTAGTGAAATATTTGCAATGTTCTTAATGAGATTTAACTTGCCTTCTATTAAAGAAATCAGTAACTGCTTTTTTAGCCACAACCTAACTGTTTTAAGCATGTTTACACTCGGAAGCTAATATAATTTGGTTTTACCAGTTTTTTGTATCTGAATTGATATCATTTTCAAAAGCATTCTTTACCTGCATATTTCTGGTGTTTAATTCTCTATTTGTTATTTAATTTATTTATGACACGGAAAATTAGAATCAACGCAGACTCTGGGCACCATGGCAATTTAATAAAACAGTCTGTGGTTATTAAATAGAAATAACAAAGAAACAGCAACAGATTATTTAAAATCCAGCCATCCGGCTGAAAAGATAATAAAAATTTGACTTTCCAAGAGAAAAAAAAAAACTAAAAAAACCTAAGAAGTCTCTTTTTTTCGGAAATGGCTTAACTTTTCCCTTTTCATAACATTCTAGTCTTTAAAATATTAACAACTCATATTTGTTCCTGTCTAAGCTTTAAACAAAACAGTGAGGGAAATAACCTAGCAATAGGCATAAGTGTTTGATTTTTTGAGATTTAAAAAAAAAAAAAAAAAGGAGTTAGTTGGCCTAAGGCTAGAATTTTCATTACATCAATGAAAGAAAGAAAACAGAAGCCAGCGGAGGGGAGTTATAGAAACTGACTTTATATAAACAGTGAGAAAAATCTTTTTCCATGGCCACCTACAATGTAGCTACTTTACCATTAGTACAACTTTTCTTTTACTAGTGGCACAGCTACCAGGGCCCAATCCTGCTGTTTTACAGCAGGCTAAGGTCCAGCTGAGAGCTTTGCCTCCGTAAGGACTTCAAGATCAGACTAGCAGTTTGTCAGACAGAGCAGAAACAAAGAATTTTAGACGTACCTAAGTTGACAAAGCTCATGACCATGTCAGCATCATTCAGAAAGTTGGTGTCGTGCAGGCTGGCTAAGGGAGGATTCTGTGTGGTCAGTGGGGTCATGCGAGACAATTGTATTCTCCGCGAATATCCGTTCGGAGAGGCAGGGTATCCTTTCCGTATCCCTCTGCTCTCCCCTGCCATTGATCCCTTTAGTGAATACTCCAGCTCCTCAGTCTCCTCTTCATTTGTCATGGCATTATACAGGTCCAGCATGAAGAGGGGTGCCGAAGAAGCCTGCTTTCCTGGTGAAAAGGGTCTGGGTCTGTGAGGTAGACCCAGGATAGAGAGAATCTCTCTCTGAATCTCCCTTCGCTCATGGTTCCGCAGCCTCCTGTAAATAAAACTCGAATGGACATGATTGTCTCCTAACCCTCCCTGTGCGTGACCCGCCAGAGCCCAGCAATTCCAGAGCAAGCCCACGAAAGCTCTGAGCGCAGTTAGGTTCATCTTTGAAAAGGAAAAAGAACAACAACAACAACAACAAAAAATCTCTCTCCTACTTGTTCTGAGTTCCTATGAGGTCTGCTTTCCCAGTGGCTGAAAAACAAAATTTACCTATTCTTCATGTCAATGTCATCTCTAAACGTAACATCTTTGGTGATTTCTCTTCCCCCCACCCTGTTTAAATATTATGGAATGTGTCAGGTTGCAGTTATTTCTAAGAAAGCTGAAATTCAGACTTCCAATTTTCCACTGTTGTTATCGTTTTTTCTGCATTTATGGAGCAGAAGACCAGTATTTTGTCAGCTGACCTAGGCATTCCTATATAAACCTTAGATAACCAGGTCTTTGGTGGGGAGCTGTATTAGCAAGAGCTGTTCTTCTGACACATTGTAGTTCCCAGAGTTATCTTCCCTTGGTATTCTGAGTTCTTCGTACACCTTGCGCTCTTTCCAAGATAAAATCCTGAGTCACAGATTTGTCTTGATCTGTACCTTGGTGGTGCAACATATATTTGTCCAGCAGCCTGGTGATAACTTTAACATCTTTTGAATCGCTTTAGTGTAAAGTAATTCTAAAGCATGTACTAATCAAATTAATGTGTTGCCATGAATTTACTTGGAAAAAAAAAAGAAAAAACCTTCTGTAAATCCATTCAACCCTTCGCAGCTTCTTAACTGTTATTTCCAACTCTAGCAGGCACAAATATAACAGCTCTCTTCAAGAGAGATCTAAAGACTAATGTAAGCACAACCCTGCTGGGAAAGAAGAGGCTTCTCATTGTAATTTGAAACGGGTATAGCAAAAAAGTCCTTAACCCTTCTGTTGCCAGACAAAGCTTTAAGCTCCCCCCCACCCCAATGTACAGTAATAAACCTAATATGGCTATTGACTGCCTTTTTCCTGACAGCTTCCAGAATATCCAAGTAATCAATTTTAGCTTTAACAATTTTAGGATATAGGTAAAGTCATGGCGTAATGTGGAGGATCCTATGAGTCTATAGTTAATAAACTTGAATATGAAACTCTCATAACAGACTAAAATAGCACTCATTAATTCAGGAAATGTTTGTGCTTTAGGTAAGTTTAGCAAATAAAGGTGACCTTTTCCTCCGTAGGAAATTTGGTCTGTTAGGCTCGATTAACTCTTTTCTAAAAATGTTGGGAATGCAATCTAAAAGAAAATAGATTTATTCAGCAAGCAAGATTTCAAGTTGTGCACAGCCAACGATATAATTACAGTTATAGTCACAATTTTCATAAACTGTAATTTGCAATGATAATTTATTCAAAGTACATTTTGACTCATAAATCGCTACACTACATTTCCTACTAAATATCAAAAGCTAAGATTTAATCCCACAGCCTATTATTAACTGGAGAAAAAAATAGCTTAACTCAAGAAATGAGAACTACTGAATAGATTTTATTTTTTAGCTGTTATGCATGAAATTAAGGTTCAGCTAAGAATTTTATGATAGGCAGCATCTTATGCTTTTCCTCTCACTAAAACAAAATCACAGTGTTAAATTTCATATTGCTCACATTATTTGAGGTCATTTTTCTCACTCCTATAGTTTGCCTTAAGTCTTGCGGAGATTTTCCTTTGATGAAGGAGAGAAAATATGGACAAAAAAAGTTAACAAAATCTGTGACGTTAAGGAAAAAAACAGGTATATAAAATGCATCCCGTCAGGTTTTGCCTGACATGACTAGCACCTACTCAGCAAATCACAGTACTTGAGTAAACTTGGGAGTGGGACAGCAAGTATAATGACACCCTAAGAAGCCAGGAGCAATTTATCTAGTGTATTAAGTACAACGAGTTTTTCTCATATATTGTGAGTCCTAGTCTACATTTACAGTCTACTTCAGCTGTCATTAAAACTTTGCTAGTTCTCTCTCATAAATCAACGTGCATAATAGACAGTGCGTCTACCAAGAAAGGATTTATCTCATCGTAAACCTGCTGAATTAACACTAAAATTAGTTAAGAGTAGTTAGCAAAAGCAGTACTACTCTCAGTGGAAGAACAGTCAGGATAAGAATATGCTTTCTTTTTTTAATTGAATTTTTCCTTCTAAATTCGTTTGTTATAAGAAAACTATTATTTCCTGTTTTTGTTTTGCTTTCATTTGTCCTGCTCAAACAGTTGCAATGATGCACGAGAGTTTACTATACATACGTCTTTTTTGAATTAGGCCATCATGTATTTTGCAACCAGGTTTATTTCTCTTTTCCAGCAATATATTTCCTTTTTTCCCTAAGCATTCATAAAAGCCAGTGGATTGATTGCTCAGAGGATTTAAGTCCGCAGCCCATCAGTACGTCCAGCAATAGAAACTTCCTATATTATCCCACTAGAGTGTCTGGAGTCCACATTTAGATAATCTTTTCCCGTTTAAAAAGCCAAAAATGCCCTCGATTTTCAGGATGCATTTTTGCTGTAAACATCTTCCTGGACAGAAACAGAGTAAGAAAACATGTAAGCTAGTAATCACACATTTGAGGAAAGCAGCTCCTGTCATTTTCAGATGGAGCCACAACCAAATCTGTAACCTAAATACAAAAGATTTATTTTTCAGTAACCGAGCCTACACTGAGCCACCAGACGTACTTGACTAAAGCCTCTAAAAATAAGAGTCTTTAACCGGTTTTCATCAATATAAATGCAGTGTGCTTTTGTAATAAACCTCTGTTCCATAAACACTGTTAATGTGGAGATCTTATAAATGCAAGATATAGCCAGCTCTAAAAATGAAAGTCTTTGCTAAAGAAATGAAAGGACTAGCTGATAGGTCCCACTTCATATTTCCAATAGGTAAATTGACTTCTAAAGGAAAATATGATATATAATGTCAGCATGTCGAGCTATTTTATTTGATAATACATAAAAATACGCTGGCATAGATATCTGGATTTAGTTTAGGTTCAGGTTCGGTTTCAAAGTCGCCTTGGATCTAGGTTTCTAGTTTTACAACAAAAAATATTCAGTTGTTTGCATAACACTGCAACTTGAAAGAAATGCCACGTTCATACTGATTTTAGCTGCAGTCAAATTCAAATAACAGTTAAGGTCAGTATGAAATGCTAACCTCGAATGAAAACCAGGGATTTGAATAAGATGACCCAGAGATTCCAGTTTTACCCTGTGTCTAAAACCGAAATTCTGAGATAGAAAATATACACGCAGCTTGACCTGCTTTCTCCCCCAGATGCTCAGCCTGAGCGCAACATAGGAAATCACCTGACCAGTCCTTATCCAGTCATTAGAAAAGAAAACTTAAAACGACTCCGCAAGCAAGCTCACATTAGGGCTGGATACCTGATACAGGAGCGTGTAACCAGCGGAGCATCTGGAGCCTAGGGTCGCAGCAGCAGGAGCGCAGCGCAGCCCGTGCAGGCACCGCTGGAAGCAGGAGGCAGGAAGCCGTTGCACGAATGTCTTAAACAATGTGGCATATACATATATATATATATATATATGATGAATGAATTCAGAGCTTACTACAGTCGCACTGCCCTAGACAATATTGGAGCTGATAGCATAGGGAAGATGATAAAACCTGGGAATCAGGATCTCACCAATCTCGGATTCCGACAGATAGTAACACTGCAACAGGGGAAAATCCATTATTATCCAGCAGACCACAGCACTCACGGCAGGTCTGATTGATTGCTTTTATAGGCACTGCCCACTACTCCAAAATAAAATCAGCAAATGGCTACTGAAGGCAGAAGTCTACTGGATCCTCAATATCACAGTAACTGTGGGTGATTTGCCATAACAGTGGTTCTCTGTAGCTGTTTACCATACACAAAATAGAAGAAAATACTGACTCGCTCCAAGATATTTACAGTCTAAATCTGATACCTACAAATGCAAGCCGAATGATTCTGCTAGCTCTTTCCCCCTTAACGACCAGCGAAATCTGGCATTCAGATCAATATTATACAGAAGCAAATGACGCAGCATTAAAAACGCACAAGTTTGTCAAGGTTACTTCTCCACAAGGTTGTTGTTGCAAGAGAGACTTTTATGAAAAGGTTTCGTGAAAGAAGGAAAATCATTAGGGGTTAAAACTAGGGATAGTCCAGGAAAAAAAGCAAGTCTTCCATCTTTCTGGGACAGAAACATTGCACAGACAGCACAGTTGTGCTCACCAGTTTATACTACCACCGTCTAAATCGTATTTACAGTGGTATGGACAGCCGGAGGCATACATATGAGTATTCGCACATATGTATACCTATGTGCATTTGTTCCAAATGGCCAGGCAACAAAATTCACAAATATCTTTCACTCACTCCCTTTCTGGTTTAATTGAGTTGGATGTTGTGTGAAAGTTGTATTCCTACCTTCTACACATATAGAAGAGACACAAACATATTCTTCTATATCAATGGAAGATAAGTCTCCTAATGCAAGGGGAATTCCATTTGTAACAGACATAACGTAAAACCTGGTAGAAATAGCTGAAGAAATAGGCAGCTAGAGACATGAATTGCTTACGATATTTTTAAGTAAGTGGAACGTATCTATATAAACTCCCTTTTTTCAGGAAATCTCACAGAACTTACTGATTACTGTATGATAGACAGGAATCATTTCATATGTAGAAACACTGCCACTTCTGGAATAGCAAATTTGTTCAATGGCATCTCTTTATTAAACTTTACAGCAGGATGGAAAGGTAGCTGTGCTCAATTCTTCTCCACCACAGGGGAATTTTAGGATAACCTTTGGGGTTTTACCCAATATCCATACTCTTTACACATATTCCTGGGGATCATTAAGCGTTATATGTATGGAAAGCACTTCTGTTTTACGTTCCAGGCAGAAGACTGCATTGCTACGTAGAAGTGTTCAATACACAGATTATAGGGTTATTTATTCAGTTACCAACCAGCTTCCTGTAGCACAAGGGTTTCTCATCCAAAATTTCAAAAGCTCAGGCAAAATCGCAAATCAGCCTAGGAGGTAAGTCATCAAGCATTTTATAGATGGGGTTTAATAGAACACTTTGTTTAAAATTTACAGAAAGACTTCCAGCTTTAAGTATAATCATCTGTAAAGTTTGTTCTATTCATAGTACACGTACAATGTTGTAAAGCTATCAGCACAGAATAGTCTGCAGCATCAAAAATATACTCTTCTTTAAGAAAGTGGGGAAAATCATTTTGTTATGTGCCTAAAGACTTTTTTTAACCTATTGTGTTCGATGACTAGGAGGAAAAAAAAAAAGCTTGTTTCATGCATATTCTTTGGAATATGTGAACCACAAAATATAGAATTAAAAATACAATCCACCATCAGAGTGCTGTCATTTGCATAATTAATAAGCCTAAAGAGCTCCCAAAAATCCCCTTTGGTTTACAATAACCCTCTAATTAGTTTAAAAAAAAAAGGGAGGAACTGCACTGAGGCAAATATGAAACGCCTGCACAACAGCAACATTTGTAAGTAGCAAAGCATAGCACCTTTTAGGGAGCTTATTCTTGGCCAAGCTTGCAGCAGGGTTTTACCATGCCCCAGTTGCACACTGGTACCTGCTAGTCTCATGATGCAGCATTTCCACTGGCCTTGGCTGCTGTGCCAGCACTGTCCCCAGCGCTCTTTCAGGAAACCTCTTGCAGGCTGCCTTTTGGTTTTCTAATCTAAATATGTATAAAACTTTGTTCATAAACTGATGTCCTCTAAGTAGCTGCACTG